TTTTATTAAGTATTTATTGGCTCGGACTGTTTTTTGAGATGAACATTTACAACACAATTTAATGAACAAACAAGAATGTTATAATTTAATATCATCTATCGCTCACCTATTTGGCGTCAGTTTGTCACTGCCAATCGTAGGCGACTGTACCCTCAAAGATCCGGGGGTATAGTCGTGCCCATAATGCACGTACGTCTGGTAACCATTACCGAAACCGTTGACCTATTGAGGAAAAAACATCATTAGAACCAGTTAGAACCAGATAATTTGAATTTCCTTAGATACAATACATTTTTATAAGATCACGTCATTGTAGTCTTGCCATAATAATCTAGTAATGTTTCCATATAAAATTGACAATAGCAGAATTTCTAAGAAAAGTTACTTATTGCAAATTTTTAAGGTTTCAGTATCCATAGGGAAAAACCTTAAATCAATTTAAGGAATATTAATTGATAATTTTTATATGGCACTCAACTGAGCTTTATTAAACAAAAGCTCATCACAAACAACTTGATTCGTATGAGAAATAGTAATGGTCCCAAAATCCCACCTTGTAGCAGTCCGCGTACGCCGGGTCATTGTAATCGTTACTGTATCTGTATGGCTGGTAGGTGCTGTTTTGATTGATCGACGACAGTTGAACCGCACCCGCTAACGCTACGCCACTGCCAAGTTTGGCGTTTGAACATAGCGTGCTGTCCGAGCCGGTGTTTGAGTAGTCCTAGAAAGAAGGAGATGTTTTAATATTGATTATAGAAAAAAAATTTTAAAAATAGGACGTTTAAAATCTGAATGATCATTTTTCTATGGTTAATGGACCGATGTCCAGCGTCAGGTTAAGAATGACAGATAACAATTTCAAGGTTAAACGTCAGATTAGAGAGTCTTTCAGACTGGCCAGGTCCAGTTACAGGAAGAAAAACTATTTAGGGCCGATTTTTCAGTCGTCGGATAACTTTTAACTGAAGAATAAGTTTGGCACATTGATAGTTTCAGTAATGGGAAATATTATGTAAAATGACAATTTTATTCTTCAGTTAAAAGTTATCCGACTATTGATCCTTTAAATTCAAACTATGCTACTTGGCCCGTGGACCAAGCTAAAAGTGGGCCAAGTCACTGGAAGACTCTGATTAGAGTGGTGCGCGGGATTACGGATTAGCGGTCAATGTAGAAATCCTTGAGGGAGACTTTTTTTTAACAGTGGACATCACTAGGTGCTTGGTTGAAAACGAATGAACGTAAATAAAGGTTTGTCGTTATAAAAAAAAATATTATCAATGGTAGATAAAACGTTAGTCCATTCATCTCATCTAGTATCAACTCTTCACTAATTCAAGGTTATTGGTAATCTAAATCTATTTAAATTTACTAAAGCTGAAAGNTGTCCTTTAGGTCGTTGTTAAAACAGTAATTACCTAACTATTTATTGTTTTAACAACGATGTGATATTTCGAGTTTAAATTAATTGCCAAGTCATAGTATATTTAACATAGAATTTAAAAAATTTGTTTTCTTTTTCTGTTTCTGTTTACTCAATTTTTAAAAACGATACCTATGTATAAACTATTTGTGAAAACTATTTTGGCAAATGTGAAGTTTAATTGGTAACTCTATATGTGTTATAGAATGCTGTTTGTTTTCCTAACAATAAAAATAAAAAATAATTCACCAACATTATATCCTATATTGGGAGCATACGCTGACAAACTTTCAGCTTTTATAAAATGACGGAGTCTGGCGTTCACTAGCTCTTAGTCTAGGTATACTTAGTGCTTACCTAATTGTTAAATTTATCTTTAACAATTGGGTAAGCACTTACCTGCAACCAAGCACGATTAAGTAATATGTGGTAGTTTGAAACTTTTGTATCTTTTTAACTGTGTAGGATATTCGCTAATCTCCCTTATTATCTACCAGAAATGGAGGACAACCAGAAAGAAGGCAATGTCTACCCCGACGAAGTAGAGACGCGCTCCCCCAGAGCCGTGGTCGTCGTCCCATCCAACTGCCCTGGGAATCAACAAATGGGCGCCGACGGCATCTGCCGCGACGTATGGTAATCTAACCAACGGAAGTAAAGAAGGCGAGACGAAGTCTGTGCCATTCAAACTCAAAGAAGGTTCGAACATCAAATAAATAAAAACTGCTACTTATTCGAGTGCTGTCTTTTTTTTTAATGGATGAAAGAATGAAAATAAATGTTAATGATGTCGTTTTCTCTAAAATACTTAAGGCCTACCTACTCTGTTACAACTCCTGTAGGCTGTAACGTTATAAAATACCCTTGAAATATATTTATTTCTATAAAAACATAACAAAAGCATGCTTTAGAGCCATTCTCACAAATGGACGGTTGCATGTTTTCCCTTTCACTCAAAAATGACTATGTTCCGTTTTGTTTAGTTAGGGACTAGAAATCCAAGAATAAATATAACAAACTCAGTTACTAAATTAGATCTCATAATTTATTTATAAAATATAATAAAATAAATCTTACATTTTAAATAAATCAGTGATATTCTCCGCTGGCTTGTCCTTCTTTGTGATGAGGAACAGGCCGTGCACCTTCATGTGAACCTTCAGGCTGCCTCCGCAGATGAAGCCGCGGCCGCAAATGGTGCAGACATAAGGTTTCTCACCTGAAAAACAAACGTCATACTGTACCATCCACAGATTAGAGATATGCCAATCAATGGGTATCCTTCCGTTTGGCCAAATTACTTTTCGCCAAATTTCACTTCACAAACAACTTATCGCCAAAGTTTCATTTCCCAAATAAACTTTTAGCAACTGTACTTTTCGCAACATTTGGTCAAATTATCATTTGGCAAAATTTTACTTGGCAAATGTTTATATAGCAAATGTTTTATTTTGCCAAATATTATATCCCAAATAATTTGTTTGGTCAAATTGACACTTCACATACTTACCTACCGTTACCCACAAATCAAAGCATAAGGCACATGATCATGGTTTTCACAAGAATTTTATGTAAAACAAAGAGATTGCAGAAAATTGTATGGTTGCAAAAAGTAGGTATTGCAGAAAATAGTAGGTTAGGTTAGGTTAGGTTAGAACAGTGACCCTTAGCGCGCGAAGGCGAGCGAAGCGTGCCGCGGCAGCGGCCGCCGAGCGCTAGAATCACCTCTATTGTTAATGAATCATTTGGAAATTTCGATAGAAAGAATGAAATAAGAAAATTAATTTAGGACAAATTTTATATTAACTTCCCACTAAACAAAATAATAACCACAAGCTTATTTATATTCCATTCTATGCACCAATAAAATTATTTTGTAAATAGTTTATCGTGAAACATTTTTGCCAAATGTTTCATTTGCCAAACAATAATTTGCTAAATAATAATGTGCCAAAAACGACATTTGCGAATTAAAAGTTTGCAATAAGTTATTTTGCCAAATGAGAATTTGCCAAATGAAAATTTGCGAAACGTTGTTTGCGATGTGATAATTTGGGAAACGTTTTTTGGCCAAACATTAGTAATCCCAATCAATGCGTGAGTTCGAAACTCAGTGTCGCATTAGAAATTCACACACACAAAGTAATCAAAATATGTGCTCATTATCCACTGTGGTATCAGTACTCAACGTTCGAATAATCTTTAGTACTACGCAAGCAATGTAAACTGCTTACGTTATGACGTCGCTGCTGTAAGCTACTTTTTCTCAAACGCAAGTCAAACGCTTCACGAAAATTTGCTGTTTTAGTAATTTTAGTTTGAAAAATAAGGTGTCGGACTTTTAATAGAAAGTGCCTAAATCTGTTGTTTCGTCTTTGTTAGCGTGTGAACTTTACCGTGATCCCGATTTGCACTTCAGCTGGAATGATAATGGAGCGCGAGTCGAACGCGACTGGAGAGGAAACGCGAATAACATAAGGTCCATAGTCCATAATCACCTGTGTGAATGCGGCGGTGGCGGATGAGCACGCTGCTGGAGTAGAACTTGGCTTGGCACTCGTCGCACTGCTTGGTGCGCACGCCGTCGCGTCGCTAAGATGCACCTGTACGGTTGCAATTTGAAGCTTATTCCCTAGACGTATGGTCCATAATCACCTGTGTGGATGCGGCGGTGGCGGATGAGCACGCTGCTGGAGTAGAACTTGGCTTGGCACACGTCGCACTGCTTGGTGCGCACGCCGTCGCTAAGATGCACATGTGCGGTTGCAATTTGAATCTTATTCCCTAGACGTATGGTCCATAATCACCTGTGTGGATGCGGCGGTGGCGGATGAGCACGCTGCTGGAGTAGAACTTGGCTTGGCACACGTCGCACTGCTTGGTGCGCACGCCGTCGTGCCGGTGCGTGTGCACGCGCAGCGCCTCGCGCGTCTTGAAAGCGGCCGGGCAGCGCGCGCACTTGTGGCTGCCTACTAGCCGGTGCGTCTCGCGGTGACGTCTCAGCTGGAATGTTCAAATTAAAATTAAAATCCTTTATTGCATGTCACATGAGTATAGTTCAAAAATACTGAACTGTCCTATCCCTGACATTGACAGTGGGGCGCCACCGTCAATACCGGATCGCTGCTTCCGATTTTTGCCATATTGGAAACCATATAGTTGAACGATGGTAGCGCCCCCCTGTCATTGAGTTTGGTGGGAAAGTTCAGCGTGGGTCATCTATATGTTAGGTGCTTCACAAACCGACGCTCAAAACTCGACTCAAGTGCAGTCATAGGTTTCAGTCTGATCTGGGCCCCGATTACGCTAAAAAGTTTCATCTTCAACGTGCCCGTACGACGAACGAACATCAGCTGTTTTGACAAATCCGTATCGCAGTGTCGTTTTGACAGCTAGTTGAAACGAAGCATATACGTAAACGTATAGCCACGGTAATATTATCACACAGTATTGTAACTTCATATAAACGGACGAAATGCAAGCTTTCCTTCGAAATTCAAATCTCGGTATGCGCTCGACATGCAAAACTCGGGGGTGTCGCGAATGTGCCACAGTAATAAACGGACGATGTGACAGTAAGCGCTCTTTTTTTATAGAAATAATTACAAGTACCTATTTATTACAGTGTTAGGTAAATGGGTTTATAAGCCGACACTAGCCCATGTTAACATATGCATAATTTATAAATAGTATGGTGAAGTCAGTGATAACATCATTTTTAACTTTTTAAAATTTTCATACATAAATAAAATTTATAAAATCAGATTTGTATGAAAATTAAAATGATTAAAATGAAGATATCAATTTTCTGACTTCACCATATCATTTATATGCACATGTTAACATGGGCTAATGTCGACTTATAAACCCATTTACTTAACACCCTGTATAAATAGGTTCTTGTAATTATTTTTATAAAAAAAGAGCGCTTACTGTTTAAAAACAAGCATTTTGTACTCCTCAGTCGAGGCGCATACATTTTACGGTCGCAAATTTATAAGTATTTGTTACTAAATCTTAACACAAATATATTTTTTTAATTAAATCTACTAATCACAAAACAACATGCATTTTTATCCTATTTCATTCACGAAGTATTTTTTTGTTTTGTTTGTCAAAATAAAATTAAAAATTACAATCACAAAATACACTCACAAAACTAGATAGAAATTCTAAGTAGGCAGATGTAATGAAAATAGGGTCTGCAGGTGGACAGCCCTATCGCATGTTGTCATACCGTGACCACGGTAATACTATCTATACAGTATTCCAACTCAGCCATATTTTTGAAATAAATGTCAACAGCCCCGCGGTACGTCACGGTATGACAACATGCAATAGGGCTGCTCACCTATAGTACCCATTAAAATTACATCTGTCTACTTAGAATTTCTATCTAGTTTTGTGATTGTAATTTTTTTTTTATTAGACAAACAAAATACTTTGTGAATGGAATAGGATAAAAATGCGTGTTGTTTTGTGATTAGTAGATTTAATTTAAAAAAATATGCTAAAATAATTTTGAATCTACTAATTATAATGAGTACTTAATGACCTGTTACTTTAATTTCAGGCTGGCGAAGTCGTGGGCCAAAGCTGGTTTTATACAATATAATTTTCATTTCAAACCAAACTGACTGAAAATGTCAATTTCTGACAGTTAATGACTAGTTTTTGACAAATTTGATCGTTTAAGACGGTCAGTCAAATTCAATCACCTTAGTCATTTTCAACACTAGGCCATCGATGTCCGTTCGGCACATTCGCGACACCCCTAACTTTTGGATCTCAACCACGTCCCGTGATTTGAAATTCGAAGGAAAACTCGCGTTTCGTCGGTTTATATGAAGTCACAATACTGTATGATATTATTACCGTGCCGTGACGTACCGCGCGGCTGTTGACATTTATTTCAAAAATATGGCCGAGTTGGAATACTGTATAGATAGTATTACCGTGGTATAGCTAAATATCTCATGTGACAATGAAAATACTAGGAAGGTACGTCCATTACCGTGATACCGAATTTGCACTTCAGCTGGAATGAAAAACGGAGCGCAACTGGAGAAGAAGCGCGTATGTATTGGAGACGTTAAAATTAGCGTAATCGGGGCACTGAGTGCTTACCATTTACATTAGATATGCTCGCTAGCCCCTGCGTAAAAATAACATTAAATTGTATGACATGCTGTACAGCGCCCTTAGCGGCTTCTATCAAGAACTAAAATCTTCATAGATTATATTGACGCACTCGCAGTCGCTAGCGACACAAAATATAATTTGGTCTAAATATTGGAACAGGATAGTAGATCCTTATTTTGCAGCAAACTGACTTTGGTTTTCAGCCTTACCTGTCTAGAATGCTTCAATATCTTCCCGCATTCGGGGCACATGACCTCGTGCAGGCGACATGTGTGCTTGTCATGCTTCTCCTGGTCTACGAACACTATCTGACACCTCGCGCATTTCACTTTTGTAAGCGAATGTTTTCTTATCTTATGGGCCTGAAATAAAAAAACAATTATAGCTAGACTATACCTTTAGTACTCAACCCCACGGTTTATCTATACTAATATTATAAATGCGAAAGTAACTCTGTCTGTCTCGCTTTCACGCCTAAACCACTGAACCAATTTTGATTAAATTTGGCAGGGAGATAGTTTGGGTCCCGGGAAAGGACATAGGATAGTTTTTATCCCGGTTTTTGAAACTGTGCGCGCGCGATAAAGTATTTCTGTGACAGACAAAATTCCACGCGGGCGGTAAGCTAGTAATTTCATATACCGTGTAATGGCTATGCTCACGTGACATTGGCAAACGTGGAAACACAATCAATAGCTATAGAGGAGAAAATTCTTTCTTCATTTAGAGATTTTTGTTAGATATAAATAAAATCCATCTGATTTCAATTACAACATGTATGAAAAAAAAGTAGCTTAAGTAGTATTTCCTTACTCTTAAATTAGTCTGTAGTTTGCACCGAAATCCACACATATCACAGACCAAAGGTTTATGTTCGCTGTGCGTTAAAATATGCACCTTTAATGTGTCTTTGATAGTAAATCTGGAAGAAATAATTGCACAATTATTATTAAAAATTATGTGTTTTCTAATAAAAATATTATATGATGATAAATAAATACCCTTTGGAACAATAATCACAAATGTATTTAACTTCTGAATGAAGGAACATCATATGGTTTCGCAGTTTTGTCGGCGTTCCGTAGTTCTTTTTACATACTTTGCATGTTAACACCACTTCCTGAAAAATATATTAAGATTTATAGAGCTAGGCTTGCCCCAAGCCCAGGGTGGAAAAATACACACTAATATCAGAAAATTAAAGAATATTTACCTGTCCATCATTATGTGCAGAGAGATAATGGTATTCCATGTAAATACTAGACTTTGAGCGTTTATTACAAATGTGACACTTGCCCTGTTTAACAGGTATATGCTCCAGTCTGTGCCCAAACAAAGCAGGCCAATTGTTGAAGCTTTCATAGCAGATCTGACATTGCTTGTTGTTTTTATGCGTTTCCAAATGACTTCTTAATTCGTTTTCGACGATGAAATTTTTATTGCACATCCCTAAAATAACAAAAACATTAACATTCAGATGCAATATGCAAGTGGAAACTGCATACATACATCCTGCTCTAATCTGCGTGCCAAATTATGTTCTTCTACCTACATGATAGTACATAAATAAATAGTAAAGCAAAAACATTAAAGGAAACTTAAATGAATAATACTACCACAGGCCCATGCTATTTCAGCTTCATCAATTACTTTTTTCTTTGGCTTTTTTTCTGAAAAATACACATACAAAAATTTATGAAAAGACAATTAGTTTTAAATTAATAAAAGGCACTTTCAGCACATAACTAATTTGATAAATTGATTTATTCATTGCTCTACCTTTGATATTTGTTTTAACTTTTGTATTTTTTGTTCTTTTCTGACACTTTTTTGAAGATTTTTGTTTCTTTTTATCTGAAAATGCAAAAAAATATTGTACAACAATTAGTTATACACAAACAAGTTATATAAAGGACATTGGGAACTTTAATATGAGAAAATGCCCCACGGCGGACAAAGATGAAACGTATTTTATTTCAAAGCTTTATACTTGTAGGTATATTCACTTAAAGCTCTATGTTGTGAGATATGGGAATTCTGAGATATGACGAGTCTAAGTTGAAAATATATTTGTCTAAAATGATTTGATATTTTTACATGTTATGTTGTTTGGCATTGCAGAGTAACCAATAAAAGTAAATAAAATAGTATAAATAAATAAAAAATGTAAATAAAATAATATAAATAAATAAAATATTATAAATACTTAAATTAATATTAGACAACATATCATATATTACTCCAACCCAAAATAACTAGCTAAGGCATTTGTGTTATGGAAATCGGGAACGACGAACCACAACACACCCAAACCAGAGACAATGTGAAAAGATCGTTTTCTATATTGTCCCGGCCGGAAATCGAACCCGGGACCTCAGGATTGGCCCGGCACACCTTGAAAACCGGTGTGTGCGCCTCTCCGCCACGGAGGTCGTCAAAAATGTTACCTAAATGTAAAATAAAATAAAATATTAAAACTTCATTTTCTCAATATTCCCATATAAGAGAGAAAAAAAAATGCACGGAAATTCATTGGATATTAGTATGTATCATCTGTGATAGGTTTCGTTTGTGTCCGCTACTTTTCGAAAAGTGGGGCAAAAAGTTTCCAATGTCATTTCACAATTATGTTTTTTAAGTAAGTGCAAAATTGTTTAAGCATTCCTTAACAATATTTCCATCGGATAATGCATAGTAGTAAAATTTATCGTGTTTAAGTCTAACAATAATGCATAGTTACTTAAATTGAGTGATTACTCCACTCTTATAACTTTTATAATGTTATCTGATATTTTACCCGGTTTTGAATCAATCTCCGGTTTTCTTTCATCCTCTTCACAACAATTTGTGGGTTCATCATACATAACAGTACAATCTTCTTCTTCGTTGCATTCATTCTTTAGTACCTCTATTTTCACTTCTTGCTGAAAGGCCAATTTACTTTCACTTTGCAAGTATTTTTCTTCAGGTTTTACATGCTGAAATGGAAAAGTAAATAAAACTTACAAAATAAGACAACAACCCTTGTGTATATGAATGTATTTATCAATTAAATAATTATATTAACAAATTATAGAGTATTTTTTACCTGAATCATTTCATGTAGAGTTGTTTCAGATTTGAGCGACTTTTCTTTGAAGTCCGTGAATGAAATTAGGAGTTGTGCACATTTATTACAGAAGTAATGTGGAAAACAATCAAACAGGGTCACCTATTCGTTAAAAAAGATAAAAAATACAATTAATGAGTAACAATATTTAACCATAAGGTCACAACGGAACGACCCTTTATTTATAGCATTAACACAACTTACATTCAGATTTGTAAGTAAATTATAACAGCTTACAGAAGTCTCGTTGAATGGAATCATTGCATTTTCAGTTTGTAAGCAAGCTCGACACATCTCCATGTTGAACGAAATACCTGCTTTCTTGTTCTTTAGGTATCTGATGGATAAAGAACCTAATTATGTTCTCCCATTCCCATTAATTTATGCATAATTATTTCATTTTCAATAAAGTCGAAAACCGAACTCTTGTAACCACAGATATGGATAGATGCAGCATGTGTCAAAAATTGTATGAAGCCGAGCGTGCCACTTTTTAAACGTCATTAGTGTCATTTTAGCGAATTTTAGTGATTGCCGCAACGTAAAAGTAATCGTATCATCGTACTGCATTTGCAAAGTCATCGAATGATATCGTGTGACTCGATTCGAAAATTAATTAATTCCGATAAAACTGATAATTTGTTAAATACAAAACCAAAAACATCTTTATTTACCTTTTTAAAATAATTAATTCTTACAAATCATCAAATCTCGTTATTTTTTTTACCCTACCAGCGTTTCAAGACATAAATTTGTCAAGTGCATGAATACATGCATCAGTGTGTGTCTTATTGTTATGAGTAAGTACGGTTCCTTGGGATCGGTATGAGTGCACCACATACAGGGACCATGGTTTTAACTCTTGAGAGTACATCGCAGGATATGTATTAAAAACAATGCTACTTTATACTTCTTCTACTGCTACTTTATTCTAATTAATTATTTGTTACTTGTGCTGTTAATTACAATTCTCAATAAGTAAATAATTTCTTCTTTCTACCGTGTTCGTACTACTGTCCTCGTAAAATCATCGTAACCGATTGTTGTAATCGAATTACATGAACATCACTCGACCATGTATGTCCATTTGGACATATCGGAATGGCACGCTTTGACGATCAACTTGCTGCATCTACTCTAATCCATATCTGTGCTTGTAATAATAACACGATATGACACTAATGACAACAGTGACAGCATGACAAATTGACAAGTTTTCTGCTCACAGACAAGCTGCTGATGATAGATGACAAACATTTTAACAAAGCTGTATAATATTTTGATTTTGTCTACCTTTGTAAAAAAAAATGTTACTGTCAATGTCAGCTGCTGTCTGTTGTCAAAGTGTTGTCAATCTGTCAAAATAATTCATCGTCGTCCAATCCAACCAAACCATAGAGAAAAGTAATACATAGGAAATAGAGAACCCACTCTGTCAAATTTTTGAGCCTACTAATTGACAGCCTGGTGTTAAATTCGCTGTACTTAACCTACGTACGTT